CCCAAATAGTGATCCACGGAAAACCATGATTCCGTGGAAGGGTCACAGAGATTCCGAGAGTTTGGACATTTTATACATATAAGCAGTTATGATTTTCGGAAACCTTAATTAAATTTATATTCAATATATCATCCATTATTCATTTAACATATACGTTATTATTATGAAATTATTTTATCAAAATGCTTCTGAAGAAAGAAAAGTAAAACTAAAAAATGCATTTTCTAATAACAATATATTGAATGATTAATGAAGGATATACATTTATGAAAATTTGGAATAAATAAAAATAATCATGTAGAAATGTGTTTCTCTGATAACATTTCTCAACATTTATTTTATTCCTTTGTTTTTTTAATTTCAATAATAACTATATTTCAACTCATTCATTCACGCACAAAAACCAAATTATGGTTTTTCACCAGATATTTAATACCAGGCAAGATGCCATCCCAGACCTCCAAATTCAACTTTCTGCCATAAAACCCAATTTTAAGAAAAGTATTGATAAAACGATTGGATAAAAAAATTTCATACTTCGTGCATTCATTAAATATTTTAAAGTTAATTAATAAAATTTCAATGATTAATATTTTCAAAATAATTAACGGTCCTGATGGAAAGATAGCCTAATGGAATTTATTCATTAAGTCTCGGAGTTCCAGCAGAAGATCGATTATCAAGGGTGCCACAACCGAAAAAAATTGTCAACCGCTTTTCTAAAAAGATAAATATTCGGAAAAAAAGTATTTTTATTCCGAGTTTTACACTTCACGTGCATATTTTCTACTTTTCAGTTCCAAAATTAGTTTAAAAAATTGCGTCCATTTTGTTTTCATTTTATAAGAATAACTTAATGAACATTACTCCAATAGCAGACAGGAAAAAAAATAATAATAATTAGTCCAGCTATTTCTCATTCATATTTTAAGAAACTTTACTTAAATATACTAAATTCATGGCAAAAGAAATTTAACTACGAGAACAAATTGCAGCTTGAATAATAAAAAGAGAAAAAAAGTGCCGCAGACGCGGCAAATCCACCGTGACTAACGGTATGACTTTCTTTTTTAAGGTGTCATTTAGGAAAATGCTTCATTTGCAACTTAAATGAAAATTAATTAACCGTATACCAAAAAATTAGTTCCAAAAAAATAACTCTTTAAAATTTATAAATTTTGTTATAATCTCTTTTGTTTTTACGATTCCACATTCTGTTGAATTTTTTTTTTCCATTGAATTTGTTAATGTACTTTTAACTTATTTTTTGGCCTTAAAATGGACAAACATTAATTGTTAACTGAAAAGCCTGCGATAATAACAGCACTTGGTCATTTATTTAAATGATTTTACAACTTTTACTTATAAACTATGTACTGCTATCGTAGCAACATCTGTATTTGCATAACAACAAAATAAATATAATTACTTACTGCATGTGAGACATAAGTATTAATAAGAAACTAAGAAAAGTACGTAGGGTAACTGTTAACTGTAACTACAAGTAGTTTTTTGTATGATTTTCCTAGATAGCAAGATAATGCATTAATAGTTTAATCTTGTTTTAATAAATTGAATTTGGTTCAATAATTTCGACCGCCGCTGCTTATAAAAATTATAATACATATGCTTCTATATATAGAAAACCGAAAATAATAAATTGGTTACATCTTAAATTATCAAATTTCAATATATATATGTATATAGTATTTCTTTTAACCTTCACTACTACCGAAAATTATAAATTGATTTCATCTTAAATTGTCAAATTTGTATATATAAACTCATGTTTGTGAAAATTGCAACACCATGAAGGACTTACGCGAGTGAGCTGAAATTTTCAGGAAATGCAAAGTAGAGCATGATATGCAAATGATTAGAATTTCAGACCCGTAGCGCATGCGTATGCTGAGCAGCGCCCTCTGAACGGCGGATGGATCCGAATAAATAGACGGCTGTAGCCAAGCGAGTATGGTTATCGGTGGTTATCTGCTAGTGGTAAACGTTAGCTTAGTCATTACTTATGCCTATTCGACGAAAGAGAGCGAGATTTCAACAACTTACGGAGTTTAAACGGGGGAGAATCATCGGCCTTCGTGAAGCTGGATTATCTTATCGTGCAGTAGCCGCTCGTGTGCAGCGTAACAGCAGCACAGTGATGCGTGTTTGAAAGCAGTGGATGGACGAGTGTCGGACAACTCGGAAATCCGGGAGTGGACCCCGAAATGTCACGTCAGCTCGCGATGATAGACACCTGTTCGGCGTTGCGCTAACGGACCGTACGGCTCCCTCTAGACAACTGGCAGCACGGTGGTCAATAGCTACAGGTGTTTCATTGTGTGCTTTATCAATTCGTAGACGTCTGCTGCAGCGTGGACTGCGCGCAAGGACTCCTTTATACAGGATCCCCCTCACGCTAAACCTTCGCCGCCTGCGGCTGCAATGGGCCAACCAGCATAGGGACTGGCGTGCTGATTGGCAGCGTGTCGTGTTTTCTGACGAATCTCGCTTCAATTTGTGGTACCATGATGGCCGCATTCGTGTCAGACGCTATGCCGGTGAACGCCATCTTCCGGAGTGCGTTATCGAACGCCACAGTGGACGAACACCCGGAGTTATGGTCTGGGGTGCCATAGCATATCATGGACGATCTCAATTGCTACGAATTGTGGGTAATCTGAACAGCAACCGGTACATCAGTGAAGTTCTACAGCCCCAAGCTGTTCCCTTCCTTCAAGCCTTGCCAGGTGCTGTATTTCAACAGTACAATGCCCGCCCTCATATTGCTAGGACTGTTCAATCCTTCCTTGCATCGCGACAGGTACAACTTCTTCCTTGGCCGGCGTATTCCCCGGATATGTCGCCGATTGAACATGTGTGGGATTTCGTTGGTCGGCGTCTCGCTCGTAATCCTCGTCCTGTTGCTTCTACAGACGAACTTTGGGTACGCATACAAACAGTATGGAATTCTCTTCCTCAGACAGACATTCAAAGTTTGCTTGACTCCATGCCACGTCGTGTAGCAGCACTTATTGCGGAGCGTGGTGGCTACACAAAATACTGATTTCGATCTCTTGTTATTGTTTGTTTGCTTTGAAAGTTTAATCATTTATTTGTACCACTACCACTCAACTGTGTATTAAATTTCATTCAATTATGACTATTCCTTCATGGTGTTGCAATTTTCACAAACAGGAGTTTATATTTCTTTACGAGTTCACTACTGCTGGAATTTATTCCGAAACTCGTAAAAATTAGTGAATATATGAGGCAAAATATATTTAAGAAAAATTCTTTTTAAATTTTCCATTAATAAAAAAACAGATTCGTGTAAAAAAAATATACACATTAGAAATTATTTTCTCTCAAAATTATTATTTTAAAAATTTTTTAAATGTTCAGCAAAACTGCTGACACAATACATTCAACTTTCATTTTAAATTCTATTGATCTGAACTGAAGTAACTGAAAATATAATTTGAACACATATGAGGCTAAGTGATTAGAACTCTTATGGCTTCTGTTCTTAAAATAGAACACTCAAATTGTCAAGAGGGTAGCATTTCTCAACTACCTTACCTTTCAGGGGCTAAATACCCAGATTCGCAAAAATAACCAACGATTTGAAAATTCCATTAATGAAAAAGTGAATATGTATAGCTTAATAGGCTCTAATTAGCTATTCTCACCATGTTTCAAAATTAGTACTAAATTTATAAATAGAACTGTAAACTTGAGAAAACCATGTTTTTTTTAATTACCACCTGTCTTTCTTTAGCAGTAGTTTCGCAGTAGACGGATCTTAAACACACTGTTAGGGACTGAGGGTGTGCGGTATCAGTCCGCGTTAAACTGTTCTACCGTAAAGTGCTTCACTTCGCGCACAGGTCGTCGGGCTACCGAAGCAGAGGAGCCATCCTCTCTGCAGAAGATCAAAACTGCAATAGCCCATTGTGCAACTCTAGGTAGATGTACCTATCTTTTGTAGTAACAATGTATCACAGTCAGATGTGTCAAAATTAACACTCTGCGTAAACATTTCATTTGAAATAATTTGACAGGCAACAAACTTAGCATCTAATTTTAAAGCTCGCGGAGAATCACTTATAAATGCATTGCCTCTGTATTGGAAATTAATTCTTTCAATTTTTCAAATTATCTATCATTTTTTGCTGTGTCCATTTTCTTAAACAAGTTTCTTGAGCTGTGCCCATTTTCTTACACGCGCTTTTTTAGCTGTGTTCATTTTCTTAAACAAGAATTTCAAACTGTGTCCATTTCCTTAAACACAAATTTCAAGCGGCGTCCATTTTCTTAAACACGAATTTCAAGCTGCGTCCATTTTCTTAAACACGCATTTTGATTTGTGTCTAGAATAAAAAGTACACCAATGCTATATTTCCAATTAAATACAGTTAAAATATAGAGTTTTCCTACATATTAATTTCTCCGTAATTACGGTATCATCACAGAAACATTTTTAAGAAGATGCACTAAAAGATGTTGACTATTTAGAAGATTAAAAATGTTTCTGAAATATAAATGAAATATGCGTTGCGTGGCTCAGCTTATCTAAAACAATTGCAAATTCATTGAGCAAGGAATCCAAAACTTTAGCTAATGAATGTTTTGGTACAGCTTTTAAATAAAATGTTATTGCAATCTTAATTAAAAAGTCAATTAAGAACTCAGTAGAAATTTAATATATAATTATGAAGAACGCATACTGCCATCACTAAATTAAGCACCAATTTTCAAGAAAATTACTTAAATTTGAAGTTGCCAAACATTTATTTTTAAAGTTTTTTTTCATTGTTTATGAAAGATATATTCTAAAGCATCGATCCCCAAATAGTGTTCTGCGAAGGGGAGCCATCCCCTCTGCAGAAGATCAAAACTGTGATAGCATGATAGCAAAACAACAGGTTGATTAACATTGGTTGGAAACACACTTTTGGAAACCCTGATGTAAGTTTTAAGAGTAAGGAACTAATGCCATATACACGACACATATTTTTTATTTACAACTAAGCAACAAAATTCAATTCTTTCCACCAAAGATGCATTTACTACGTATATGAAACACAATAATCAAATACATACATAATCTTCAGTCACAAGTAAAAAAAATACATAATTGAGAAACACAAAAAACAATTCTTTTAACTGATTAAAACTTGATACTTCGCATTTTGCTATATTGGCACAACTTCCAAAAGAAATGAGAATACACTCAAACAGTTTTACCTCGTAAAAGGGCTTGAAAATACTTCTTAGCAAGCCTATTTTTAAACCAGCCCATAACAAATATAAACAATAAACTCTTAAACATGCAACAACAAAAAGCATTGATTGAAGGTGTTGTTGAGGTGACATAAAAATGGGTGTGAAGTCAAAGTTTATGAAAGACTTGTGAAAATAAATCATTGAATATCTATAAGAATGGGAGCTTTAGAACAATTATTCTTTTTATTAATTTTTTAATAAAATATTTATGAAATGGAATGCATGATATATATCACTGATTTTAGATAAATAATCTATTTATAACTATCAGTATGTTAAGGCACTGGATTTGTATATAAACTAGGTTAGCCAATATATTGAAATAATTAATTGGTAATGTTTCATTAGTATGTAAGCTCGATTAGTGTGCTATATATTTCCCAAAACCAAAAAGTAAATTATAAAGTGTACTGAAACGTTAAAAGCAATAATGAAATGACCCAACTCCAATGTTTCTTAATGATAATTTTTCTTCTTTATCTTATTTGAAATTAAGAGATTAAAAAGAATACTGAAGCTCATGTCTTGCTAAAACTAAAATATGTGAATAATTTTTCAATTTCTTAAAAAAATTAAAACCTATGCAGCAAAATATTGTAGTTTCTATGCTGCTTAAAAACTTTAAATAGGTGTATAACATTATATCAGCTCAAGTAACCATTTGTACACCTCGTATGATTTTGTTTAAAGAAATATAATTTTATGGAGTCATACATAATAAATAATTTCAAAGTTAAAAAATCGCTACAAAAGGAGGGGAAACAATAAGGACTATAAAAATTATTTTAAAATGCTTGATTGTACAAAATAAAACATTAAAATTAAAACATAAGCAACAAATAACTTAAAGTAAAAGCTTTGAGGTAAAAATACAACTTTTACAATACACAAGTCGCATTAATATTTTCAAGTAAAATTAATATAAAAATCATAATTCTTTTATAAATCAATAGTTTAAAATCCACTAAGATTCAATTTTTAGAAAAATTTTGTACAATTTCCACAACCTTTTTACAGCAGAAAAATATTAATATTCAATATTCAAAGCACCTAAAAATAAGAAAATTAATCAAAATATAGATTTGTACTCACAAGAATATACAAAACAGATTGTACAGTAAAAATATGAGATGGGGACTAAAATCATTGAAAAGTTGTTCAAATGTATTTTCAAATAAATGATTAACTCCCATATCAAGTTACAGATATTCAATTTCATTCTTTATAAAAAATAAATAGACATGATTAAAAGTAATTCATGATAAACTAAACCATAGAATAGTTTAGAGAAAGAGATAATAGCTTAATTGAATAGTCTCTATGAAAAATTAAATGGTTAACTCCACACATCAGCAGAATATCTTCTTTGGGATTCCATTTTCTTGATATAAGCTTCAGCTTCACTCTTAGATTTCTGGCCAAATTCTTCTACGATTTCCAAAATAATGTTGTGAACATCTTTAGCCATATGCCTAGCATCACTGAAACAAAATAATTATAGAAATTTAATACACTATATGCATATATATTTTAAGTCACATTGTAAATTATTAAGAAATACTCAAAAAATTGATATAAAAGATGTGTATAAAAAATTAACAGCTAGTTAAGCATTGCCAGAGCTCATTCTAGGCAGGGTAAACAGAGCACAGCACCCTGCTGCCCTTTTAGTCAAAGGAATCAACCCTGTTGCCCCTGAAGTAAATTAGTGCCCTGATGTATAAGACTCCATACCCTTTTTGCTCTTTCTTTCCTTAACCCTTTAAAATATGTTAATTTATTAATAAAAATTCTTAATTAATATGATAGCTTTGCTACTTTAAGCAAAGTAAAAATAAAAAAATTTCTTTAACTAATTGACAATGTTTTTTAATAGAACATGTAAATCACATAGAAAGAAATTACTGCCTTTTTAGAATAATAATGCCCTTTATTTAAACTCTTGCACCCTGCCCCTTTTTCTGCCTAGAATGAGCTCTGCATTGCTAATAGATAAGTTTATTTACTATATGAACACACAAAACATTAAAAAAAAATTCTAAAACTTAATCATTTCTTTACAATGCATTAAATTTATAATTATCTTTCTTAATAATTACTTTTTCAATTTAATAGGTTAAAAGTGTACAGCAATAGACTTTTTAAATGAATTTAAAAAGGTATTTACAATAGTAATTTAAATGCCTTATAACATAGTTCATCAGGTAAGTTTTCTTTGATTATGTCCATTGTTCATTTCTTATATTAGTTTTATATGTGTTTATCTTATTGTTATTGCAAGTCAGTTACTTAGAAGGCAGCAGTTAAGGCAGCAGCAATTTAAAATTGAACATTAAGTTTTAAATTATTTGTAATAGATTTTGCAAAAAAAAACTTTTTTTAACCAGGAAGAAGCTATAAAAAGATTGTAATATTTATTCACCCAAAAAGTATTAATATATTAAAATGCATAAGTGCTTAGATTGCAAAGTTGATGGGCTTAAAATAATAAGCATTATAGAAAATGTTTTGAAAAAATATGCAAGCATTATTATAATATAAATTGTAACAGAGTTAAAACTTATTTTTTGATTTATTAGTAATTGAGTTACAACTTTTGTTGATTTTAATGGAAGTCACATGAAATATATTGAATATTTTTACATACATCATTGCATTCTTTCGGTTCGTTTTAATGAGAGACAAAATTAAATTTCCTTAAATTAATTTAAACATCTCTTTTAACCCATAAAAGTATTAATCACAAAACCATTTTGAAGAGGAAACATTTGAAATAGTGATTTCAAACAAAACTGATGGCATATATAATTGGGCCTGAACTAAAACTCATAACTGTTTGAAAGGTGTAAAAAATTATTAATATTATTCAATATATTCCTATTAGTAAGTTGAATACAACTACACTACGAAATTAAACACATAAAATTAAATTCAAATAATGTGCCAAAATAATTTTTAACTATTCAGGATTAAAATTCAAAGTATGTTAAATGTAAGGATTTTATTTGTTTCAAATTTAAAATTTTTACTAGAAAAAGGTATGCAGCATTAACTTACCCACAAACATAAATGTGACCATTTTGTTCACCAATCACTTTCCAGATTTCAGCTTTGTTCTCTCTTAAAAGATGAGTTACATATCTCTTTTCAGGTTGATCTCTAGAGAAAGCTAAATGAAGGTGAGTAAGCACTCCTTCATCTACATACTTCTTCAGCTCCTCTGCATATAAGTAATCCTGCTTTTCATGACGGCATCCAAAGTACAAAATAGTGTCACCAACAGGTTTGCCTATTTCAAAATCAATATTTAGAATTAGTTTCATAGGGAGGATTCTATATTAGCTATTATTTCTACTCATTAATTTCAGGGTGAAAGCTACTCAGAAAACAATTTTTAGCATGCCTAGATAGCATATAAAAATTGTACTTCTTATTAAAAAAAACAGCCAATAGGAATTATGTAATAATTTTTGTATATTTTTTATTCAATTCAGTAAAAAAATTATGTCAACACTACTTGGCTGGATAATAAGGGAGCAGTTTAGATAAGCTATTATTTCTACTCATTCGATTCAGGGTGAAAGCTACCCAGAAAACAATTTTCAGCATGACTAGATAGCATATAAGAATTGTACTTTCTATACAAAAATTATTACATAGTTCCTATTGGCCATTTTTGTTATATTTTTTATTTAATTCTGTAAAAAAATTATGTCAACACTACTTGACTGGATAACAAGGGAGCATTTTAGATAAGCTATTATTTCTACGCATTCGATTCAGGGTGAAAGCTACACAGAAAATAATTTTTAGCATGCCTAGATAGCATATAAAAATTCTACTTTTTATACAAAAATTATTACATTGTTCCTATTGGCTATTTTTATGACATTTTTTATTCAATTCAGTAAAAAAAAAAATGTCAACAATACTTGACTGGATAACAATGTTTAAGTTTCCCAGTCCTTAATCTCTTAGTAAGTTCAAGATAGAAGCAAAAACTTATCTAAGGTGAGGGATAACTTCTAAAACCTAAGCTTAAACTTTAAAAATCAATTCCACTACATAGGAATTGGCCTTTGAATACATAATATAACTCACTAAATTTGATCCAGTATTTAGTTTCTGTGTTTAATTTACATTTAATTAATAATTAACAATTTTATATGCAATATATTTACTATAACGCAAATTTAATTACAGCTCCTTATAATTTAATAACTATTTAAATTAAGCGCAAAACTTTGCCATACCTTCTGATTTCAAAAATGCTCTTTCTTGAATGAAACCTCTAAAAGGTGCTAAACCAGTACCAGGCCCAATCATTATAACAGGAGTTAGCGATTTACTGGGAAGTCTGAACTGAGAGCGACGAACAAAAATAGGTATTTTAGTGATATTTCCATTAGAAGGTTTCAAGGTTGTGAACCAGCCAGTGGTGACACCTGTATTATGACGATTGGTTTTTGTCATATAATCTATCAAGACAGCAGTAACGTGTATTGAGGTAGGGTAAATCTGAAAATGCAAAAAAACAATGTCAAGTCTTTAAATATTGTTCATGTAAATGACTAATGAATAAAATACAATATACATACTCTACAAAATAGGTTTGACATTTTGACCAGAAGAAAACCTATTTCTACAAAGACTTAGGAAGAAACTAAAAATGAACCATTGCAGTGTTCTCCTTAAGCCTTTTTAAAAAGACAGCCTGCCCTACCAATCTCCCAATCTTTATAAATGCACCCTATTTTTGCCATTTTGTAAATATATGCAGCCATCCCTTAAAAACAGTGTCCTTTTATTCATTTTCCATTTTGAAAATAATTATTTCACTGTTTAAATACTAATTACACACTGGTAAAACTATCTGATTTCTCTATTACAAATATTTAGTTTGTTAAAAATATTCTCAACTGGTTAAATTTTTATAAGGATCTCTTTTTTCAGGGCTAAGTACGTTAATATTTTGTAAGTGGTTTTAAATGTATGCATAATGCTTGCCTTTTAGCATGCCTTTAATTTCTTTTATAAACTGCAAATTTTCTCATATTTGATAATGAGAGAGAATAAATTTTTTAAAACATACACATAAATAGTATAAGAGGGTAATTTAAAAATTATTGACTACAAAATTCAGTTATTACAAAATATTACACATTTTGAGAAATTTTTATGGAGCCAAGCTAAAAGTGCCCTTTTCTAAGAGGAAGGGCTTTGCCTTTTTTTATTTCTACAGAGAACACTGAAATGGTTTAGCAAGAATAGCTAAAATTTAAACAAATTTAATATAGCATAGTCAAATGTTTTTTGCAAACAATAACATACATATTATCCAATTAGTTTGTTTTATATACCAAATAAATTGTGAATTTAATATGTGATTTCTTAATTTAATAGTATTAATAAAATTTTATTATTGTAAAATAAAGTTTTACTTAATATATTAAAGTATTTGAATTATTGGATTATAAGTTTACATACATTTAAAAATGATGCATAATAAACAGCCTAGAAATAAATGATTGCAATCTTATTTAAATAATATTACAACTGTTAAAATATAAGAGAATATTTTTGAAAGCTTTTTACATTTCTTCTAGGTAAATATTTCCCATGAGTTTTATTCACTTATGTGTTATTTCCAACTTTTATAACATATTAAAACATTATTTTTTTTAAGATTGTGGCTCCCTTCAAAAAGTTAGCCACCACAAGTAATATCAAAGTTACTTTGAATATATATTTCATTTTTAATAACCTATTATAATATGTGACAATATTAACCCTTAACGGTCCAGAAATACTTCAAGTTTACTTCTCATCCATATTAATAATTATTAATAATTACATAATTATTTACAATTTTATTAAATCATAAATATGATAACATTCAGTGTGATACGAAAAATTTCATCTTCTTGTTATCTTGCAAAAAGAAAACCTATATTTATAACAATTATTTTTAAAAGATTACAAGTTTTGCTGTAAAATAAAGTTATATATCCAATATTAAGATTATAACCTGTCTGTAAATAGAAAAAAAAGAAGAAAACGTAAGGAAAGATAATATAGAAACAAATTTAAAAATTTAATTAAAATTCTAATGAATGCTTAAGTAATATGTAAACTTAATGCAAAGAAAAATTTATAACTTACTTTAGGTGAAGATGAGATGGAATAATATCGAGCCTGTAATCTAGGTAACAATTCCAAAATATGATCCAAAGGAGGCTTTAAGGATGGAATATCTTCAAGGATGTGTATTATACTTCTACTGTGTTCAACTGCCCATTCTAAGTATTTATGCTAAGAAAAAAAAGAAGAAATTGCTGGTATTAATAAATGGCAAGTTTTCAATAAACATGATACAATACCAAAATTTACTTTAGCACTTTATAAAACATAGAAATAAGACTTCACCTTTATGTAAAAATATGCAAAGCTGGAAAATTCAAATTAAAAAAATTTTTTAAATAAAATCAAAAACTTGTAACTATTTTAAAAGTTTGATTACTGTTAAAGCTGATAACTGTATGACTATAAATAAAATTATAATTTTTAACAGCCCTTAAATCACAATGAATTAAGGAAAATTAAGGTCATACATAAATTGACACCTTGAATAGCATAAATTTTCAGAATAAAGAAAATATGCTTTAACATTTTCGTAAATAATTACTTAAACTCAACACTCAACATTCTACAGCACCATCTGTTGAGGACAAAAAAATATTTTTGCCATCAGTAGATATTTATCCCAATTTTTTTTTTTCAGATTTCTTCAACAAATTTGAGGAAATTTGAGAATAAACTGGTAAACAGGAGATAGTCGTAAAATACAGGAGTCTTCGTTAAAAAACTTGGCAAGTATGTAAATATTTTCTATGACTTAATATCAAACACCTCTGATTTATAGAATGAGAAACACAAAATACTGTAAAATCACTATACTATTCAATCTGAAAAAAACTACAACTCGCAGTTGAAGATTTTTGGAATAATTTCTCTAGTTTTTCATAAAAATAACAATATTGTGAAATTAAATCTAAAAAAATGCAGTCTGAATACATTTTTAAAATTTTACTTCAAATAGAAAACTTACTTTTCCTTCTTCTGAAGAGGTAGCCATCAATTTTAGCATTTTCTTATCCTCTTCATCTTCAGCATACTCTGAAATTTCCTTAAGGACATGAGTACGTGGAACACTTGTGATGTCTACGTAATGCAGCAATGCAGTACGGTAAGTAGTCGGACATGGGAATGGATGCTTTTTTGTACTATCCTCTGAAGAAAAATATATTTCAAAAATTAAAAGTGGAAATATTTTAGGATATTTGGAAATATATTAAGACACAAAATTTCACAAGTTACTTTATAAATTAAAAATTGCTATTTTCAATAACTAGAGACAATCAAATGTTTTCTTGTAATCTGAAGAATGATTTAAATTCATAATGCCCTTTAAAATAAAGAAGTTCAGAGATTAATCTAAAATACCACCAAACAAACTTAAAAAATTTCACTAAAAAGAAATTACATATAGTCAATAAAACTAATAGACATATGAAGTGCCATAACAAAGAAAGGACTCTTTAGTATTTTATTTTGCTAAAATATAAAAAATTAATATTTCTTTTAACTAATTTTATTGATTACTATATTATCACATTCCCATTTATATATAAATTTTAATTTTGAGTGTTTGACCAAAATAAACTAGAAATTTTATTTTAAAAAAAATTGTTACTCATACTAAAATTATTTTCCTCCAACGATCTGAGAAAAAAATTTAAAGTATCTCTAATGCAAAAAATTATTAATACAAAGCTACATATCTAAAAAACAAAGTTTATGTTTAAAAATAATTATAAATAAAAATTATAACTATTATTTATAATTTGACTGGTTCAAACATTAGCTCACTAGTTAAGTAAAACATATTGGTTATATGTATGTGATACTAACCATCTAAATTGTTCAAACTGAATACAGTGTCTAAATCCACATTTAAGAGCTTTCCAATCTTTTCAACAAGTTCAGGATTATTGGTGGGATAAACAGCTACATGATCACCAGCTTCATACCTTTGAAAATTGATAAAAAGAAAACATGAGAATACTTTCAAGCCATTATCAGCAGAGCATAAAACAGTACCATTGATCCCTTTTTTAAAAAAAAATTATAATTATTAAAATATATAGGCTATTAAAAAAACACTAAATAACAGCTTTAAGAAAGTGAGATTTCTTGCACAAAGCTCTTATATTTTAGTTTTAACTATACAACACAGTTTTATTCAGTCAAATCACTAAATTCTGAAGATATTAAACTTTTTCTACAGCATATTAAACCATCAGAGTGAGAAAATTAAGATTTTAACAGTTCAAATGATTTTTGGGGATTTATAGATTTTCATTGTGGGCAAAAGATAAAAAGCATGGCTTTAAGGCTAATTTACTCATACATCACATAAAACCTTCTTTTACTTAGAATTGGACTGTACTTAAATACTAAGCAAGAAGCCAGGCTTAAAATATATTATGATATATTCTAAAATTAAAAATAAATAAATAAATAAAAACCCAAATGTATTTAGAAATGTATAAAAAATATTCTGCAAAATGTAACAATCTTAGAAAAACCAATAGAAGTGTGAACAAACTCAGCATATAAATTTAAAAATATGATAAAAAATTGTGTGCTTCTCTCAAAGTGTGTTTCTGGAAATTTTTCTGACAAATCATATTTGAGCAGAAAAATTTGTGTGCTATTATAGAATTAAGACTTCAGAAATTGTTATAATTTTGTAAAACTAATATATTTATGATTTTTACAGTCTTAATTTTCATTTATTAAAATTTAGTGATAGTATCCTTCTGGTAATACTCTATTAAGTTAAAAGAGAACTTTTTAAATAGCCCTTAACAAAATTTCAATTTAGGTCAACAAAAACTTATAAAATATTGATAAATTAAGAATTATAAACAATAAAAGGATTTATAACTAAAGATTTTCTCTGTATATTTTGTTTCTCAAAGAAGTTTAAATAAAATACAATTTTTAGTGCAGAGCTCCCTAACCAAATATAATTTTCCATAGAAATCTTTCCAGCAATGAGGTATCCCTCTCATTTTTAAGATATAATCTGAGTTGGAACTTAGTATATTCAGAATATTTAGATCTGACAAATTTCCAAAATAATATAGGATTTAACTTAATATACCGTTCAGTTAAAACAGGTGTTACAAAATATCACAACTGAAAGAAACTTATTGCAGAGCTAAATAATTCAATAAAACACTAAAAACAAGTCTTTTTGAATAGAATGATCCTCAAAAGAGTACCTTCAAAATTAAAATTTGATTTAATGCTTTAGAATGAGCCATGGTGGCTCAGGGGATGCGGTGATCTTGGTACGATTCCCAGAGATGGCTGATATAAAGAAATTCAGCACCAAAGGTCGCACCGACCACACAGCTGACATAAAATATCTTTAGTGGTAGATGGATCATGGGTTCGAGTCCCCCTGACATCATGCTAACTGTGGAAGGGTTTCGTGGCTTTCCTGTCCATGTCAAGCAAATACGGATAAGTTTCATCAAAAAGTCCTCCACGAAAGCATATCTCTCCTAATACTTGATCCAAGAGTTCCCTTGTCTTCTGGATTGCGTTCAAAATTACAAGGATACAGAGTTGAACTTTGGTAGCCGTGTAAGCCCAAACTTGGGTCGACTGTTCAACAACGGTTTTAAAATATAAAATAAAATGCTTCAGTTTATATCCGAGTCGAAATTAAAATAAAAACATTACGCATAATTTCATCCAACACCTTCTTTTTAATCTACAAATCCAATATAGTAACAGCTACTTACCTAATTTTTGAACCAGTTATATCCAGCTCAATGTGCATGCATGATCTATCCCCGGTGTACAACTCTCTGTTTTCAATAAGAGTGCTTAAGAATGGATTTTTAGGATCAAAGGGTCTGAAAAATTATAACTTAGTTATATTTCAAATAATAATTACATCAATGAATTTGAAAACTAATTTTAATACATGACAAAGACAGAAAAAAAAACAATCAATATTTTTCTCATAATAGTAATCTTAAAAAATTTCTACATGCTAAAACTACAAGTACTTTTTAAAAGATTATGATTAATAATGAGAAGTTTAATGGTTATCTCATTTTTCAAATCTCTTTCAAATATGAGCAAAATAAAAATGAGAAGTTTAATGGTTATTTTTTTTTAAAAAGAAAGAATATTTTTACGCTATAAGAAGTGCTTTTAAATCAACATATGTATTAAGTGATAAAGGGAATTTTTCTTAGGTAGTTAATACTATGTAGCTAATATATAAAAATATAGTAATGTTAAAATTTTCAAGAACTATTAAAACAATTTCTTGGTTCATTGCTAATAAAAATCATAAATTTAAAAAAAAAAACACACACACACACATGAAGTGAGTATAAATCACTTACGGTCTTTGGTTTCTATAGGAATTCAATCTTGCATGTTCACCAGTAAAAATCTTCTCTTCATTTATCTCATCGTGAATGACCAACTCATATTGTCTTAGATTAACATCTTCTCCGAAGCTTTCAATATTAAAATGCTCACAGACAGCACCCCAAAATCTTTCCTTCCAAGTAATGAAATCCTCTTCAATACTATAAACAAAAAGTATAAAGATATATAGCCAATAAACATATAGAACTAGTTAATGTAAAGAGAAAAATTAACATATATCATCAGAGCCGGATTATACCTTTTGTAGGCCCTAGGCATAGCCGTTTTTGGGCTCCACTCCTCCCCTCTTTTCAAAATATATGCTAAAATCTGCGTAGTTTGGAATTCAACAGCATAATACAAGATTTCGTTGAATCCAAAATTCGCAAAAAAGTAATATATTAGATCATAAGATTCTGCAAAATAATTTATTACCGAAAAATATTATATTTTTATTTGTATCTTCATCATTTTGTGCAAAATACACTTGTTGTTTTTAAAGCTAAATTATTTTTTCTCCCAAGTTTTTTGTAGGACCCTGAATTTCGCAGGCCCTAGGCACATGCCTAGTGTACCTATAGGTTAATCCGGCCCTGTATATCATTCATTATAATAAGAAAAGAAAAAAGATAAAGTAGACACTTGAGAAATTTTTTCTATATATTACTATAAAGTAAAACATTTTAGGAATGTAGCTATTAGTAGGTATGGACTATGACTTTTAATGTAACAAGAAACTTGGATAAATGTTAATTGTATTTATATTCCGAGAAATATTAACGCTAGAATGGCTGAACATTGCTCTATACCTAGGAAGACTGAAGGGGCCAGTTAGGACCTTCCCAGATTGTTTGTGTAGAATAAATTAGCTATGCAAAATCTTAAAATATAATAATTAATTTAACAAAAATATATTACAGACTTGATCATCAAAATTATAAGGTATTTTATTCGATTTGGTTAACATAATATATTACAGACTTGATCATCAAAATTATAAGGTTATTTATTCAATTTGGTTAACAAAAACATTCAATTCAATTATATGTATACATTAGTTTTTCAGATAATTTAGTTTCTTTTCTCTATAAATAATAATTAAAAAATGTATTGAAATATTCTACTGAAACTAGGGTACCTTACAAATACCATAGGTTAACTTATACCCAAAAATACCTGGGGTAAAGAAATGTCTACCAAAATACCTAAGGGGCGACTCTGGCCCTTCCAGTCATTCTAGGTATAAGGTTCTATACATACATTTCTAAAAGGCTAATATATTTATGATTAAATCAGGGTATCTGCTACATTTTAGATTTTCAAATTCATGACTTTCCATGCCTAATTCCAAGAACTTTTCATGACTTAACGAAGTTACTATTTTCTCTGACAAAAACAGAATAATAAATTTAAAAAGCATTATAATAACATTAATTAAAATGATAGGTATAACCAAAACTGTTATACTCTACATCTGCATGTTTATTGATTTTAAATTTAAAAAACAGAGTAAAGAAAGAGTTGAAGCAATAAAATAGCTGAAAAAATAATAGCTGAGCAAATAAACAGAAAGGAAAGAAATACTCCTGATTTTTCTGCTCTCATTTCGGAATTAAAAATATTTGCCAATGACTGGCTTGCCTCAGCTAGAATTTTAAATTGATAAAATAAAAAAAAGATGAATAATAATAATTCTGAAGACACATAAGTTTAAAAGAAACTTCGCTCTAGAAATGATGTTTTTTCTTTCATTTTTCGAAAGAACAGCATAATTTTTAAAGAAAATGATTAAAACTTTTTATAGTTTAATAAAATTTGACTCAAAGTGGGGATTTTGTTACAAATTCAGATATTCGGAACACCATGAAATTGGGGAGGGATTCCATTTTAAAAATAAAATTTTTCAGCGACCTAAATCTATGACTTTCCATGATTTTTTTTTTCAAAAATAGTTAAATTCATGACATTTCTGACAAATTTTGTTCAATACCGAAATTCATGACTTTCCATGATTTTTCATGACTTTCCAGATGCGTGGATACCCTGGTAAATAAGCAGTTAAAGTGGATCAAATGGTGAAAAGTCATAAACACTCAACACTTTTAGTAAGTTCCTTTTTCAAATTACAGAGCAACAAAAAAATGAGAAGTGCCAAATTGGCTCCATCCCCTATTAACTAAAAATATAAACAAAAATAAAATGACTCATATTACAAAAACAATATAACATCTGGAATGGTATTTCACTAACTGAGTATATTACTAAAACAACTTCACCAAAGGTTTAAAATTTTGTATATCACATAAGTAATACATACTTTGCATCATCATCTCCAAGACCCAACTCAAATACTCTTGTAGCACCCAATTCCTCTAGTCGCTTATCAACATATATTCCCATTGAGTTGTAATGTTCATATGTTTTATTACCAAGACCAAATACCTGAAAAACCAGTATGAAGTTTACTACTTAACAATTTTTTCAGCTATGATATATACCCATAAAATACAAATAATGTGAGGGTAATATACAAAAGTAAATAAGATCTATTAGTCTTAAACAATTACAGGCTTATTTTTTAAGCAAAACTATTGCTAAATGTAAAACAATATTTTATTGTAAATTGTACCAGTACGTTTACTAAAACATTTTAAGAAGATTTGGTATTGGTTTTTGAATAATCTAAGTTAAATCAATGCTTTTACCTGTTGTTAATATAGACATTTAAAATATGTTATGAAAGTTCTCTATTCAGATTATTAATAAGAAATGAGTTAAGTTTTAAAATACTTTACAAATCACTAATTGTAAAATAATTTAAACACATTTTTAAAATATAATTTGCAAATAAAAATAAAATAATTTATAAGAGTCATATGAATTCTTTTAATAACATATTCTAAAGTAAGAAAAAAGCACAAATTTATACGAACTACAATTCAATAAATGGTTCCAATCAGAAGTAGTTTCTCATTTTAAATTTACTCTTGTTAAATTAAATTTAAAGCAAATGATATAAAAATTTAATTTTGAAAGTTGTGCATAATTTGCAAAATAATTTAAATATATTTATATATATATTTTTTTTAAATTTAAATTAATGTATGAGAAGAAGACGTAAAAAATAAAAAATAAAGAACATATTCATTTAAAATAGACAAATAAAGCATAGAATATTAGATATCATTTCTCAACTATTATTTCTTTTAATAAAGAAAAAAAAAACATTTGCAATCATGATAAATAAAAACAATGAAATATCAAATGAAAATAAAACATACAGCAAAATTTAAGCCAGATAAATCAACTTCACCAGACTGCAACCACTGATAATATTCTTGAGCATTATCAGTAGGATCTCCTTCCCCATAGGTCGCCATGCAAAATATAGCAAGTGAATTTTCTATTTCAGGCACTTTAGCCAAATCTTCCTAAAAATTAATAATTGAAAATATATAAATGTAAATTTACCTAATTTTACTAAAAACTGCATATCTTCGTCAGACATAAAATACTTAAATATAATAATCTATTATTATTGTTAATTATAAATCGCAAAAGAAAATTAACTAAAACAATATTTATAGAAATACAAATAAACTAGCCGTCTTAGTTAACAACTTGGTTATCATTTTAACCTCACCATTTCACGGCACTTCACTGCATTGTTTGTCATTGTGATAATATAATATTTTAGTCATTTATAATAAAATAAATAAATAAATAAAAACTTTAAGTGAACCTTTATGGGATTCTAAACATTGGCTTATAATTTTGAAGGAACCTGTGAAAAGTTGTATAAGATGGAATTTAAACCGAATGTTCAAAACCTATATGATATAGTCTGATTCATAAAGTGGTAAAAAAGAATGAATCTTATAGGATGATCAATGCTCTCAATATTTGATCATAATAAATATAAAAATATCTAGTTTGATAGCATTTTTTTAAACAATCATGAAAAAATTATATAAATTATAACACCCTTCAAGTAAGTATATAACCAAAGTTCAGAGAAAAAATTTCTGAAATTAAGTAAAAATTTGAAGACAAACAAAATAAGCAACAAAATCTAACTCTCAGTATAAGACAAATTAGGAATTTCAATAAATTTAATTGCATCATCAGCTAAAAATTCCGCTTTATACGGAATTCATGTGAGATGGCCTAGTTTAGTTCAACACTTAAAGAAACATAGAAACATTTAACTAAGCGTAAATGTACAATTAAATATTACATGATGATGTAACCAGATTTTTTTTATATTATCTATTAAACTTTAAAAATACCTTAGGAAAACAAAAATGTTTACTATTAATCTATTTTCTAAACTAAATCTCATTTGTTTTAATTAAACTATATCTCTTCCTTAAAAAAAAAGCACATATTTTTTGGAGATAAAGATTGATTGTTATTTTGATGACTGATATTTAAAATTTATCCCTTGTAACGAATGTTGCAGTCAAAGTTAACAACAGCATGAAACTATTTGAAATGAAATTGATATAAAATCATATCTTCATGATATCAAATCAATATTATATTTAAATAGGAAATAAATAGCATAATTTTTCTGTTGTTTACTTTTTGTGATAACAGTTTTTTTCTGATAAGTCTTTTGTTTATTTCAATTATTTTTTTTAATGAGTAAAATAAAAATCTATCACGTAAGAGGCCGTTCAACTTCAATTACAATAAGTAGCATGCTTCTGGAAAATTTGAACTTATCCTCTTCTAATTGTCAACAAAATAAGCAAACACAAATCTCACATGCGTATGGAAATAAGGAGGTAATATATGTTAAATTTTGCTTTAATTTGACTTTTTGCTGTAGTAATCTGACTTTTTTTTATACAATTAAAAATATTATATGGGGCTTTAACAGCTTAACATAAACATTGCTTATAACCGACCTCCTTCTTTTTGATATTAAAAAAATTCTACAGCCAAAAGGCTAATTTTCTTTTTAATATGATGACCAAAACTGAAACAAGATTAACAGTGTGAACAATTTCAAAGAATTTAATTCTGTGATTTTTTACTAGCATAATTAGTTAAAATTTAAAAAAGTTAGAGCGAAAGTCCAAAATCTAGATTCTTAAAATCTATTATTTTAAAATTCATACTTGAATTAGTAGAAATTGCTATGTTTAAAACACACACAAAAATCAGGAAAAACAGGTCAAAAAGTTTAAAATCGAGACAAAACAATTTACAACATGAAAATCAGGGGCAAATGACTACGAACCCTGAATAAATACATTTTATATGCATGGTAAAAAAAAAAAATTTCATGTTTATGGTATTATCATAATTTACATAATAAGACAATATCATAAATGCTAATCCTCCATTAAATTATTTCAATTACAGAATGCTAATCATTAAAAACTGAGTGTGTACTAAATAATTTATCACAATTGTTATTATCAACTTAGATAGGGAAACAATAATGATTTTGGTGCTCCAAAAGAGAACATGTTCTTTAAACAAAATGTTGAAATAAATATTCCAAACTTAAACACTTGCAACAACAACATTATTACACATAAAAAGGAAAAGTTAAGTTAAAATTTTGTTCTCAAAAGTAAAATACTACAGAACCAAATATGTATGACTCAAAAGTTGCATAATTATATAAAATATTAGGCTGAACAAGTTAAAAATAGAATAATGAAGTCATATTGAATGAATCTAAACAATCACAGAATATCTTAACTTCACTGCAATTATTAAAGTAATCAAAGTTTTTTTAGTTATAAAACTAATATGTAAGCTTTGAAAAAAAATATGCATCAGCTCAAATGACATCAAACTGTACTATTCTTCCCTGCGTTACAAAAGTTACAGTCATCAATGCAAAAATCAAAAGTCATTACTAATTATATTGGAAAAAATTTTCTCGAACCCTTACAGACATCTAAGAATCAATCAAATAATTCAGCCCTTGAAAATTTGCACTCTGTTGTAGCTCAATTTTTTAAAAAAAGTTTTAGAGTCATATAAACAAATTTAAGATAAAGCATTACAAAACAGATCAAATTACAGATAAGATCAAGACAAATTACAGATAAAACAGATCTTGATTGAATCAAAAACTAGTAGTGTACCATTTCATAATCTTCAGGATCAGCAACCATTGCTTTCATTCCATATCTATTAGCTTCTTTAGCTAAACGGGCAGCAAATTCTTCAGCAGTACCAGTTTGAGAACCGTAAAAAACAATAACCCTTCTACCCTAAAATAAAGTTTTAAAATAATTAATAATTGACTTAAAATAATTAATAATTGATTTAAAATAATTAATAATTGAGATCATTTGCATTAGAGCATTAAATTTTACATAAACATGACTATATAGAACACTTTTATACTAGAATTGGAACATGTAACCTCTCAATCTATGAAAGCTAACTCACTTTCACTAAGTTATTCTTTTTAAATAAAAAGGTATGGGGAATAGATACTTATTTATTATAAACATTGATTGAGAAACTGAAAATACATATAAAAAGTTAATGAGAATTACTTACTGTTGATTTCATTTTAGTGATAAAACTGGAGTCATCTGTAGCAAATGTGTTGGGCCTGTTGAAACACAATTTAAAATATATTTAACTATAAGTTAACTATACTATACATAAGTTTGTTAACTATACATAAAATATATAATTAATACATTTTATATGTAACTATATATTAAATGTCAACACAATATGAAAATAAACATTAAATATGAAAATACACAATATGAAAATATATATTAAATGCCATAACAATAGATTAATAAAAATTTTAATTTAACAAAATAGTGCTAATTTGAAATAAATAATTATGCAATATTTCTTGAGCTTATTTACAAAATCTGACATTTCACTTAATTTTTAAACACTTCTGTTTAATTATTTTTGCATAGAGAAATGCAGTCATTTTTGTATAATTAAGTTAATACATTATACTAAATAAAAATATCTATATTTTGCACAGGACTGACTGATGTGCCAATTAATTTAGAAAGAGTAGTCTTGGATATCTTTTGACCTTTTGTTCAATCCAATTGTTTTCAATTGCTGTCAGAATTTCACTACTCCATTAGGAAATTCTGGCAGCATAACTTTAAATATTGCTTGTGTCATTAACTTACACCAGCTTGTTTCAACAGTATTTACTTAGGATAAATATTCTACTTGTCCTTTTGAAATACAATTAAAAAAACTATATATGACATAGAAGCAGTCAGGAAAATGGCAGATTAATCCTCAATGATAGTAGAATTAAGGGGGGGGGGAATAAAAATTCTTCAATTTGAAATTTAAATTAATAAACATTCATAAGCTATCAAGCTATTTAGCCTCTACCTGACTTGAGGACTCAAAAACTAATTACTGAGATTCATAAAAGAATGCTTTTCAAGTAAAAAAAATGTCTTGGCTTTTCCTACAAAATTCAATCATATAGAGAATTTTTTCAAAACAAAAAAAAAATCGAAACAAAAGAGACAAGGAAATCTTTAAATCAAAACTTAAGGACTGTAAGAAAAAAAGAGGTGGAGTTGAAGGCCATGAAAACAATGAGAACCTTGTGTAGTAAAATATAATCTTAATTTTTTTTCAAAAAATAAATTTATATACAACTGAAATCACTAATCATGGGTTGCATGTGCTTATTATGAAAACACTCAATATAATGGAACCAAATGATGGAGCTAAATCTGAGGAAAGATAAACAAGAAAAAATAAAAGGAAAGATTACTAGGGTACCTCAAGTTTTTAGGATCCATATTTACCTGAAGATCGTAAATCACAGCAGAAGTGTTCATTAAATTGTTCGTAAAAATAATTTGCCATTATAGTAGTTGTAAGAATTGAATTTTTCAGCTTAACTAAAACCATGTAGTTCTTATGAAATCATGACAATTGATGTCATGTTTTGGAATCAGTGGAATATATTTTTATATTATATGTTAAATCTACATTAAATTTTTAAACACATGAGTTTCATGACAATACATAAAATATTAAACATTGCAGACTGAATTTTAAGTAGCTCGTGTCACAGCTCGTTTATAGGACGGATCCATTCATACAGCCATTCATTAATCCACAGATCATAATTTTGAACTGAACCAGAGAATGATTAATCTACAATTCAGTACCCCCTAGAGGTAATGGGAACATGAAAGACTTTGTGAACCGACAGGTTTAAAGTACTCCAGTTACCATTTACTACACTTCAGCCGTCAGGGATCAAACTCCCGCCTAATTGAACATGGGCTTCAGCACCCTACCAACCAGGATATCCCAGGGATATTTGCTAACCTTAATCTATATTAAATTGGTTTGACTGCCAGTATCTCATATTTTCATACAGTATGAATGTAATTTTTTTTTTTTAATTGGTGCTCCAAGAAAATTTTACAGTATACCAAACTTTGTATGCGCACCAGGTAACTCCCTATTTTAGCTTAACTTTACTTATCGAAGATTTTAAATATACTTACTCAATTGAAAAAGATCTAACGGGTTCTTCTTTCTTCTTGCGACAGAAATAAAACAAAGTTCCAAGAGCCAGAACTAAAATGATAATTCCATCAAAAACACCAAAAAGCTGTTGCTCAAGAATGGATCCTGCCTCTTCTACAGGAACTATTTTTTCTGCACTTGCCTCCATTGTCTATAAAATTGAATAATAAAATTAATTATAGAAACTTAAAGTTATAATTTATTTTTCTGTAATACAGCAAATATTTAAATAAAAATAAATAAATATAAAAAGACAGATGGATTAATTTCAGAACATTATTATAACTCTTATAACAAAAGTCTTAAGAAATGTAAGGCATGCAAAATTTTAAAATTAATATGATTAAGATAACTGCAAAAGATAAGAAACATGATCCTGAAAAATCTACAGATTTCTAATTGTTAATTTTCAATTAATATTTTCAATATTTTTACTCATGGTAGCAGCCCAGCAATGGCCACTTTTAGCTTAAAAATCACTATGATCATTAAATGGCAGTTTTCCATTTCAAACTGTACAAAATAAAAATCATAATTTTATTAGTGTACTATTAGGTACATAATTCAAGTCCATTCACACAAATGTATATCTTTCCATTACTTTTCATCGGAAATTTAAAAGGCAATTTAAAGAAATTTTAGTAAATAGAACCGCTTTATACGACAAAATTATAAAAATTTACCATGTTGCAGACAGACATCATGATCTTTCATGAACAAAATAAAAGGATTAGAATCTTTATTTCAATTTTTATGCTATATAAATTCTAAGATTAATAGCCTGAATACATTTTAAGATGAATTTAATATAGCAAATCTTTATCAATATTTTGACCATTAATGTCACGAACTTAAATAATCATAAAATGACATACTTAACCAGTTAGATTTAGAACAGCAAATTTCTTGCAATTAATCTCACAAATTTTTTTCATATAACTAAAATGCAATTTAATCTTCCACTTATTTTATGCTGCTAAACATTTTTATTATAATAGTGATATTAATGTTCTGAAGAATAGAATCAAGTGGACCTTTTTAATAATAATTTCTTTATTTAAACTAAACGACTTCATTAAGAAGCATTTTCAGTAAACAAGATATGGCCATAATATGTCTTAAAAAAGTAAACATTTGACTTTTTGACTAATAAACTACAAGGTCAAATTTTTCCCAGTAGAACACTGTTTCTTTATGAAGCAACAAAAAAGAAACTACAGTTAGCCTTTGCAGAAATGGAAGTTCTATTCTGAACAGAGGCTAGGATCTACAGTTGAAATATTAATGTGTGGTGTGCATGCAAAAAAATTAAAATAAATAACACTTGAATAAAATTTGATCTCATAATAAAATTTTTACATTATAATATCCAACCTTAATGGTTAAGAGTCTAAACCTAAATATACGAATTAATTTGTGCAGACAATAGTTAAAGAGTTACAAAATGAAATACAAAACGGACTTTCTTAGATTAAACTCTCTTTTTATTTTTTAACCTTCAAATACAAGGAAAGAGGGTATGTTTTTTCAGAGAAAGTACGTCTCTGTCTACCAACTGCACAAATTTATTAGCAAATTAAAGCCATTAAGATTGCCTCTAAGTACCTTTCTTCCTTGGGTCATAAGTTTTTAAGATGTTCTACCTTTTATATTTTGCTCTGTCCACCTGCATATAAACACTACAGAAAGAAGCTTAGTTTTATTAGAGTTATTATATTCCAAGTAACACTAATAATTCCCCATATCAGGCTTTATATTACAAAATCTTTTTTTTTTTTAATTTAACATTTATGCCAGTATTATTTTAAAAGTACTGAAGATATTTCTATATTGTGATCTGTTGCGCAAACTACAATTGCCAAGGCGTCGAATGAATTTTAAACTTGCACATTCAAAAAATAAAATAAAAAAATGTGTAGAGGTTTGCCCAGAGGTGGCTATGAGTTATATACTTTGAGTTGATTCCCTTCTGTAAAGCTTTCTTTACAGTTTCTTTTGGGCTGCTGCCCAAAAGTTGCAAGGCATTGTGATTTTTTTGCCTCAGATCATGATGACAGAAATCTTCCAAAGCTACTAAATGAGCAAGTTTACTAAATTATTAAAATGCTTCAAAGGTTATATCAATTTTTAAAAACAACATCATAAATTACTGCATTACACACTTAAAATAAATAAAAAATAAGAAAATGCCAAAAATACTTTCAAAAAAATATTTTTTAATTCTTAAAGAACAAAAATAAAATAAATTACTGAATAAAATAATTTAAAGAATGTAACTCATAGAAATCAAACCAAATAATTATTCTTACATAAATTAGACTTCAGCAATGTTAAATTTAAAATATTTGCATGAAACACTCAGCCATGCAGCAGATATATTCGAACTTTTCTACTAAGTTAATTGTTTGGTTTTTAGTATACATTATCAGGCTCATTGTTACTAATAAAATAGAACTTGAACATAATATATGATGTAAAAAGATATTTCTTTATATTTTTGTAAAAAATCAAATTTCAGGAAACAAGATAAATTTCTATTAACTCTTTATCTCGCCTGACATTCACAAAAGAATGAAATTTGTTATCACACAAGATTGGCACCTGGATCTATTCAAGGATTCTGATTCAGTCTACTGCATTGTATTCATAATTACAGGTGTTTCAACATATTTTATTTGCCCATTGGTTTTGTTCTATTTTACTTGCTTAAACATATAACAAGTTAAAACTTTCTATAGAACACTCATATATTTAACAACTGGTCATTTAGAGCTAACTTTAACATATAACAAATTAAGACTCGTATTTTTTGCATATAAAAAGTTTATAAAAAGTTTTTACAGGAAGAAAAAAGCATATTTTACTCATATAAACTAAAACCAGTCTCTGAACCATGCTATGAAAAAAAATTTATACTTAATAAGATACTTAAAAACAAAAGTACTATTAGGTACATTTTATACGAATATTTTATACATTAAGTCCTTTTAATACAAAGTTTAATAAATTATCAATTAAAATAATTATTAATAGTTATTACTGTAATTATTATAGACATTAATTAAAATGAATTATTAATTAATTATAAATTAATAATTAGTTTACAGGTAAAAGAATCACTAAATTTAGTTAGCCACTTGTATAATTCAATGGAATAAAAAAACTGAATTGTAAAGTCTTGACAGACAAATAATTTACCATAACTTGAGAAATAATTCACACTATTTCCTACTAATTTAAAATAAATAGGTGATTAAAAAAATTATAAAATTCTCTTACAATCATTAACCCCTTAATGCAGATTTTTTGAAAAAAACAGGCCAAAAAAAATTTTTTTTTTCATGTAAAAAAACACACTTCTCCTGGGTTCAACTTTTCATCGGTGTGCAATTTTGATATACTGCGCTTTTGTTCCATGGAAAAAGGATATATTTCATTTTCGAGTAAATAAGTGTTACAGCTTACAATCCCATGTAATTGATAAATATCAATAAAAGTTTTTCTTTTCCTTAGTTTTTGCTCTGTTATTTTCAAATCTTGATCATATCTGAGTGTGAAAAAATTGTAGAATCATAAAATACAAAGCCACTCGAGTTATCTAGAGTGTTCACAGCTTGGCCTGTTTCGCGCACTCAAATTAACTCGAACGCACAAGTTAAGGGGTTATAGACCACTACTAAGGACCTATATTAAGTACCCCTTCCTTTTTCTCATAACTAAAATAGAAAAGGAAACTAAACAGGGAAAAAAACTTATCTAAAACTGCTCATTATATTAACTTTTAAAAAAAATAAATCCCACAACAGCCCACGGTGGGCCATGGAAATTAAGGCTCCACAACTTCATGAGTAACAGCATGATTGTGGCAATATGGTCAACACTGTGCATAGGCAATTTTTTCTTCCCAGGCAAGCTGGTCCCATTGATAAGAAGTTGGGTGGGTGGGCTTCAAGCCACCATTGGGGATTGAACCCTAGTCTTTCTCGAGACAGTTTAGAGCCTAAGACATTGTTGCTCATATTATTTTAAACCAATAAAAAATTAAACAATGTTCACAATCAAGGACTGGTACTCTTACTGAACTTACTCAACTGATAATAACCTATTAACTGTCAATACACAAAACACACTACCATAATTTCATGAATACTAAAACTATATATGGCAGAATAATAACCTGGAAATGTGAGGCTTTGCATTAGAATTTTGTGTTAAATAATTTCCCATATAATTAAATTTACCAAATGACCATGGTAATATATATTTGGAGCAGGTCAATATATATTAACATTTTAAAATAATTTTTAATTAAAAATTGTTAAAATAAATATTTATTATTTACAAATAAAATTTTATACAGATTGTAAAATTAATCGACAATTACATTGTGTTGACGCTAGATTTAAAAATTATTTTCAAACATTATGTTGAATGTTTTTCATTAGCCTAAGCCATTATTATGCACATAAGAAAAATAGAACATTATAAATGCTTTTTTTTAATTAATGTATTAATTTAAAAAAACTTAATTAACAAGAAGCACTGAAAATATACATGAAATGACATTAAGAAAGTGGCAAAAAGCTCTTTTGACTGATGTTGGAATTTTGATGAGACTGGATATTACAAATACAACTATAAAAATTATAATAAGCTATTTCAGTATTAAATTACTTCTAAATTACAATCGTTGATTTTATATTTTAATTAATTAATTTAAACTTAAGAAATTTGTTTATAGAGGGATACTATTAAATATTTATTTTTTATGTTTTTCTTTATATCATGGATGTTTATATTTTCCTTTGTATCATGGAATTGCTTTAACATAGTTTATAGAGAATTGCAGTTCATAAAATTAAGCTCTACTATGGTTTATAGAATTAAATTACATAACCATTTATATTCGATGTTAACTTATGTGCAACTAAATTTATAAAATAGTAAAGATTAAACTTTTTGAATGAAGACTAACACAACCAAAGGATAATTAGAACGAAAAAAATATTCACATATTACTCACAATAAAAACTTATTTTGGACTAGCTCAATACAAGAGGCCCAACAAATATTCTTTAATCCGAAGTTAATTAAATTCTAATAAATTCAGGATATTAATCTCAACATGAAATATAATTTTAAGAAGATTTACAAGATCACGGCATAATTATGCATCAGAAACTAAAATTGGATATTATTATGAGCAAATAATGTAACCAAATCGTTCAACTCTGTTAAAGAATTTTGTGTACTTTTCCACTTTGCAGAAGAAAAAGTTGCCAATGTTAAGTAACCAACTGGTGACCAATATATAAAGTAAAGTCACCAGTTCAGCTGGGTTGTTTTCGTTTATTTAATAATTATTTTTCATCATTCAATCATTTTTTTAAAAGAAATATAAATAAACACATAAAATAGCTGACTCTACTTGTGCTGGCAAAATGGGAAAGTACGGAGTTTTTAAATAATTTTCTGAATAGTTAGCATAACCAATACACAAAATAATGAATATGCTTAGGTTAATAGAAAACATATTTAACATTCCCAAAACCAGTTTTCTATAATTTAGTTTGTTTTCTTTCCACCATGTATTTAGTTACAAAATTAAAAACAAATTAAATAGAATTTAAAGAATTCACAATGAGAATTAATAGGGATATTATTTAAGAACTTCAAGGAAAGGGAGTCAAATTCATGGAACAATGATCATCTAAATGCAAAATTAATAACTTCTCAAAAATACATATATTTACCATCAATATTGTTTTTCCTTAATATGCATACATAAAAAATCCATTCAAATTTATATGAAAATGTAACCTTTTAAATTTTACTTAACTTTCTAAACATTTTTTAGAGCTTAAGATACCAAAATATTTTGCCTTATTTTATAAAATAAACATTTTGATGCTATCCATTGAATTTTGTGTCAAATATTTAACTTTAATGTTCGTTTTAAATAAAATTAATAATTAAGACACACTTTAAAAAAGAAATTATTTCCAAATTTTATAACGTAATTTTATTATTTACTTCGGAAATAATTATTGCAGTTCTCTGTTCGTCAACTTTGGAAGATAACGAAAAATGAGAGAGCATTTTCTATTAATTTTTATTAACATTCTAAAATTTATAAATTTAAACATAAAATTAATAAACCAAGGCACATTTTAGGAAACAAATTATTCTTTAATTTGGGTTCAACAGTAAATGAGAAAGGAAAAAAACATACTAAATTGATTCATAATTTTTATAGATGTTTTCTGAGTTTTATATTTAGACTTAAATTGTGAGATAAATTTGATAAATTAAAACACAGTATAAAAAAATTAATCCTTATATGAAATTGAGCAATATTTAAAACCTAATCCTAATACAATTTTTAGGTAAAATATTAATGTAGAGATTTCCTCTGGTATTTCAACTTAAGACCACAACATTTAAAAAAAAGAAACAAATAGATTTATAAAAAAAAAATATAATTTGAGAAACATGAACGTTATAAATGTAATCGTTAAATTTTCACTTCGATCAAAACTTTAAATAAATCAATATATAACTAAATCTAATAATGTAGTAAGAAATTGCAAATATTTATTTCATGTTGACACACATTACCAAACTTACTTACGTAATATTATGATTAAGATGTGTAGATTAGAAACACGAACAAAAACAATTTGAGAAATAATTGGACGATAATTCACAAATAATCCAATATTAGCTCCAAATCTAAAACTTCAATAAAATATTCCCCAATTTGTCCTTAATATAAGGACCTGGGTTCGGTGTTGATCGCCAGCACTGCAAGAGTTGAAAGAAAGATAAACAACAAAATTATCGTAGACTAGACGCTAACGATTGCAGCGACATCTTCGTTTTTAACACGTGAAATCGTCATCACAAGTTTCAATTTAGATAAACGCACATTTATTTTGTTATATAATTCGTCGCATTACAAAAAAAGAATGCTTTTTTTTATTAGCAATAGGATAAGTAAAAAAGCGCAACCATTTTTCTTTTCAACAAAATAATAACTTCACCTTAAAAAGATTGCTGACGTATGTTCTAACTATTTAAAAAAAAAAACAATCTTCTTATAAAATGTAGACCTTTATAATTAAATTATTTTTCATAATGCAATTTTTAAAAATTTTGATTGAAAATACATTAATACATATTTCGCAAAATGAAATTAGGGAATTCCTAAAGTCTGTATTTATAATGTCAGAAACACCTAACAGAAGTTTTTCTAAAGAAAATTCGTTTATATTTCTTTCGTCTTAAAATTATAATGACAAAAAAAAAGATAAAAATTTTTGAAAATTTTAATTTATGAAAAAATTTTGATTTTTGAAACAATTTTAATTTTTTAAATGTTCATTTTTGATTTATTTTTAACGACGTATTTTTTTTTAAATCTAAGAAATCTTCATCAATTATGTAAAATAAATGAACATAAAAAATTACTGTATTTTTTAATAGTATTTATTGATTTACGCAATCCACTTAAGAACTACATTTTTTTTTATTTCATATTGTAATAATGAAAGTATTTGAATAAAATTTAATTTCTTTGTTAAAGAAATGAATAAATGATATTTTTGTAGCAATCTAAAAACAAAAGGTCATGTTTTATGTCTCGAATATTTCAAATATAAGATATTTTACGATCAGATGAAAAAACGTGTGAATAATTGTATTTTCAATCTAAATCTAATGAGAAAATGAAAAAAAATATCTGATTTTTAATAATCTATTCTAATGCTATTTTAAAAAATTTAATTTAAAAAAGCTTTCAGAAAAATTTAAGTTTCAGAAAAAAAAATTTATGAGAATTTTTAAATATTTTTGATAATATCTTTGAAATATCATAATCAAGAAGTGGTTAAAATACAGTAAATAACATATTTTCTACCGAATAACCACGGCGATAATTTAGATAATTTTAATCAAATTAGAGTGGGAAAAGAAATTAAATTTAAATGAAGATAACGTATGAAATTTATTAACGTGTCTAAATTCGCAGAAATATGTGATAAAATAGAGAAAGAAAAAAAAGTTTTAAAAAAAAAAAACACATTTTGTTTTTCTATAATAATGAGGGCTATGCAATATAACGCAAAGACATTTTTAATATTCTGAACCAAGCCTTTTCATATCAGAGTTATGGCTATCAATATTTAACTCTGTAGCTTTGCAATTTTGAATTTAATCCAGAAGACAACAAAATTCTTCTATCTCTCATTGGGAGGGGGACTTTTTAATGTACCACCGTTTGTGTTACTTGAAAAGGAAAATCACGAAAATCTACCACCGTACTATGCCAACTAAAACCAAAAGAAATGCTTTATTTTCTCTTAATAGCGCTAGATGTTTTTTTTTTTTTTTTTTTTTTTTTCGTAAACGAGGACAATTTTTCCATAAGTGGCAATTATGTTTTTTCTTCAAAAGAAAAAAAAATATGAAACTTTTTCAGGAGCTAACAATTTTAATAAAGTTGTTTCACTTTAGTACATTTCAATTTAAAAAACACAGTATTAAAAACAGAGATAAATTGATTCGTAAATGAAATAGCAAAATATGGCGTAATAATACTTTTCAATGGCGCAACTAAGTTGGGTTAAAGGTTGCAAAATGATAAATACAACACGTATCTTATCATAGTACACACATCGTATCTTATGTATTTGGCGTTATTGTTCGTCGATATCTGTTAGATCATATCAGCCAATGCCATAAATACATATTTAAAAAACTCTCTTTCTGTTGTGTTCTTTTTCGGAAAATGAAAATATAGCCAAAGATGCTATATTGCATCATGTACAATTATTCTAAAAATTGTAAACTGTTTAATAACTAAGAATTTTTTTTATTTTTCCTTATAATTTTTATTTGCGACCAAATGAAATGAAAAGACTTTTGTACCTAGATATATCAAAGTCGTCTCTTTTTCGAACTTTCTCAACATTATGTTAGTTTTGTTTTTATTTTTTTGTTTGCTTAGTTAGTTATTTCGTTAATAAATTTTATTTACTTATAAGGTTACTTAGAGTTACTTAGTTTAGTTACTTATAGTTAGTCATTTTGGGTATTTAAAGTGATAATAAATTTTACGCTTAATTTTTAACTTAATAATTTGATTCGCAATGAATTTTACCAGCAATTTAAGCAAATATAGGAGATCAGTTAATCGTGCAGTGAGGTTTGTATATTAAACTAATTAAGTTCGTATATATCGTTCGTAACTTCTGCCACAATGGCTGGGCCTTACCATCAACGAAAATAAAACTAAATTTATGGAATCTCCAGCCACAACTGTAAATCACGATCCTTTATTCATAAATTGTTACACCTTTGAAAAGGTTAATGAATTCAAATACCTTGGAACAATGATCAATGACCAAAACAGCATGAAAACAGAAGTAGACAACCGAATTAAAATGGCAAACAAGTGTTTCTTTGGACTAAGAAAGCAATTAAGATCAAGCCTAATCAGTCGAAAAACCAAAATTAAAATTTATAAGACTCTTATTCTACCTGTATTGCTCTATGTAAGTAAAACATGGACACTAAACGCAGACACTCAGCGTACTCTTGGTGTTTTTGAAAGGAAAATCCTTAGAAATATTTTTGGCCCAGTACAGGAAAGAGGCAGTTGGCGAATCAGATACAACTTTGAATTATATAGACTCTATGGACAGCCCCAGATAATGCCGGTCATCCGAGGCAATAGATTAAGATGGATTGGCCATATCTGGAGAGGTCCAGAAAACAACGCAGTACGAATCGCCACCTTTAAAAATCCTTCTGGATCTCGGGCCAGAGGAAGACTTCCAACTAGATGGCTGGATGACACTACTAAAGATCTCAAAGTAATAAAGATTAACAACTGGAGAAAAGTCGCCATGGATAGGAGGCGTTGGAAGCTACGCGTGGTTGAGGCAGCCAAGGCCTGTAAGGGGCTGTCGTGCTGAAGAAGAAGTTCGTATATTAACCTTAAATATTGCCTGGAGTTAACCTTATATTATTCACCTCTAATTACTCATTTTTTATAATTGTACAACCAAAATAGTACTTATCAACAAAATAATAAAAATAAGAAGTATTATATGTATTACGTATAATCGAGCAAGTTTTAAAAATATGTCTTTTCGTCGTTATCTGAGGGGGGGAAATGCGAAAGAAAATGGCTGCTTTATTTTAAAATTCGTTCAATAGAATATTTTTTAGCTTAATGAACACAATTATTAATGTAAACCAAATTATTTAATTCACGATAACGCGTAATTCATACATAATAATAAAATATTTGAGGGAAATGTCAATTTTCTTAGCATTTATTCCAAATCTCTAATTCGATGATCATGAAAACTAAATTTTACATAAAGAATTATTTAAAACTAAAATTAGTACGTAATTACAGATTTTTATGCCATTTTTGCAGTAATGTCTTACAAAGAAATTTAGATATACATAAAGCATTCTGTCTTTACTTTGTAAAACGTAATGGTAGAAACATCTAAATGTACGAATGCGATGATATAATATGCGTTATTGCGTTTTGAGTTATACTTGAATTCAGTTATTTCCTCTTTTTTTCTCCACTACTTACAAGAATTTTTATCAGTCATATCTTTGCAAAAACATTTTGTGATTTTGAATCGATAAATATTGCTAAATCATTCATTTAGATTATTTCTTTGTTTAATATGAAATGAATAAATAAAATACCTGTAAATATTTATCTATAATATTCATCTTTTAAAACCCTAAACGCTGCACGCAGCAGTCAGTTTTTTTTTCAAGGAAATGCTGCGATCTTAAAATTAAACTCTTCAATTAAAAGAGACATTAATAAATTGTAATTCTTAATTAATTTAACTGGATCACTTAATTGATTTTTTTAAATTAAAATAAATTAATTTGTAACGTTATAAAAGTAAATTGTAATTAAAATTTAACTGAGCGCCGTCAATCATTTTAAGCAATAAACAAAACAAAAAAAAACTGAAAAATATATATACAGGAAAATTTTAGGAAGTGGTAGTACACACCCAGACAAACAATTTTTATGAAAGAATGCATGGTCGAAAACAAAACGCAAAGGTGCCGGCGCATTTGGAAAGTTTTTTCATGCAAACGAGAAAGCTCAATTCCTATTGCGAGTTACTGCGCTACGTTATTTGTCGCGAAGCTTTCAGCCGCTGCAGGGAAAGTTCGCCTATCTTTTCTTCGCCGTTGTATCAGCATAGCCGCTGCCGGCCACTGTTTTGAACATTTATTGTAATTACATGCCATTAAATTTGCTTTTATAACTTAACTTCATCGTTCTTTGTGTGTTTTTGCCTCATATAAGAACATAAACTTTGACGCCCTCTAGCGGTTTTGGGTTTTGTTTTCGACCATGCATTCTTCAATAAAAATTGTTTGTCTGGGTGTGTACAATCACTTCCCAAAATTTTTCCCATCTTTTTAGAATCACCCTGTATACATATGGTTTATATTGAAATGACATAAAATGCTTTCCCCGATGGGTATTAAAGAAAAATAAAGTTTCATTCCATTCTATTTGAACAGTTTTATGAAATGGAAAAAAAAACTTATTATTCATTTTAAAATTCTATTTTTTTTATAACTTATTATAAAGTAATTTTGAACGATATCATGGTTTCTTTGTCACAAAAGGTCTCATTTCTTTGGATACCAAAAGCAAATCAAGTGGTTCGAAATGAACCAGTGAACCAAGTAAACCAGAGCAGAATACACTCAAGCGAATGGTGTAAGAAAAATTTACTAGATTTTCGTATGACAAAAGAATGGCCATCCTAGTCACCAGGCTTGTTTT